GTCGGAGGACGGCCGCCAGCATTTTCGCTTCGACCGCGCCAGCGGCCGCCTCGTCGTGGCCGACAGGCTGGACCGGGAGCAGCTGTGCGGCCAGGCCGACACCTGCACGCTCCCCTTCGAGCTGCTGCTGGCCGACCCGCTGCAGTTCTTTCGGGTCGAGGTCACCCTCGACGACATCAATGACCATTCTCCCAGATTTCCCCATCAAAGAGTCACTTTTAAGATCCCCGAAACGAGCGACCCGGGCTCTCGTTTCCCACTGGAAGTTGCTCGGGATCCTGATGTTGGCAGCAACAGTGTGCAGGCATACAGCATTGCTCCCGAGAACGAGTACTTTAGCGTCTCCTATGGGAGTCGGTTTAGGGGCAAGAAATATGTTGAACTTGTTTTGGAAAAGCCCCTAGACAGAGAGGAGCAGGCAGAGATGGATTTCAGTCTGATTGCTGTGGATGGGGGCTCTCCTCCCAGGAGTGGGACCACCCAAATTCACATTACAGTTCTGGATGTCAATGACAATACTCCCGTCTTCACACAGGAGGTGTATGATGTGCAGGTTTTGGAAAACGCACCAGAGGGTTCTGTGGTTCTGACTGTTTTGGCAACAGATCGCGATACAGGAATTAATGGGGACATCTCATATCAGTTAAGCGAAGGAGTCAGTAACAGCGAGTCAGTATTTGAGATTGATCCCTTAACAGGTGAAATTAAACTCTCAAAGATTCTGGACTTTGAGGCAGCACAGACTCACGAGCTCAATGTTAGAGCCACAGATGGTGGGGGGCTCTCGGCAATCTGCAAGGTGTTGGTGGAGGTGTTGGATGTGAATGACAATGCACCCGAGCTGCTGGTCAGTTCCTTCAGCAGTCCCCTCCCCGAGAACTCCGCGCCCGGCACGGTGGTTGCCCTCTTTACTGTCAGGGACCGAGATGCCGGAGCCAACGGCAAGGTGTCCTGTGCCCTCAACCATCAGCTCTTCTTCTCCCTGCGGCCAGCCTATAAGAATTACTACGAGCTGGTGACTGTGAGGGCGCTGGACCGGGAGGACACGGCTCAGCACATCCTCAGCGTGACAGCAGCAGACGCGGGGTCCCCTCCTCTCACTACCACCCACACCTTCACCGTGGACATCTCGGATGTCAACGACAACGCCCCCGTCTTCAACCAGACATCCTACACCATGTACGTGCGCGAGAACAATGCACCCTCCGTGCTGGTGGGAGCCGTGAGCGCCGCAGATGCCGACGTGGGGCTGAATGCCAAGGTGACCTATTCCCTGTCAGCAGGGCAAGCGGCGGAGCGGCCTTGGTGCTCGTGCGTGTCTGTGAACTCGGAGAGCGGGCAGGTGTTTGTGCTGAGAGCCCTGGACTACGAGCAGCTGAGGCAGAGCGAGGTGGTGGTGA